GCGCGGCGGGGGCAGGCGGTCTGTCCCTCTGGGTGAGCGCAGGGAGCCTGCTCTAGGGCTCCGAGCCTGTGGGGGGCGAGCCAGCAGCTCTGGGGTCTGGGCACCAGCGTGACCCTGAGGAGGACAAGGTCCCGTTGAGACACTGGGGCTGGTGGCTCAGGACGTGGCAGTGTGCATGCGGGGCTGGTGGCCGAGCCAGGGTGACACTGGGGAGGGCTGGCGGTGCCCGGGCCTGCAGGCAGCTTCTGCTCGGGCCGGCTGGGGGCCTGAGAGTATCCTCTGCTTAGGCTGCTGGTGATCTGGGGGAGGTTTCCGCTCCTCTGCCACAGCTGGGTTTGGGTCTTCCCGCCCCGGCAATCATGCCTGTTTTCCCTGTGCTGGCCCTTCGTGGTGGGGGTGTCCACCTCTGGGCTCCGCTGCCCTCTCCAGGCCTGCTGTCCAGCTCTGAGCCTTTGCTGCTATCTCCCCATCATGCGTCCCAACCTTCACGAGCTCCCACAGTTGCTCTGTGCTGGATGTTACTGATGACGTCCTGGATGACATCCACCTTGAGGCCAGTGTGACACAGGCTGGGTGGGAGCCTGTGTGTCCCCAACCCGTGTCACCGCTCCTGAAGCGTCAGCTCTTACTGCGGCCTTGGTTAGCCCTCCTTACTTCCTTTGTGCTGCAGCCGGGAGGGGCCGCCTGCTGGAAGCCAGGCCTCGGGGCTGGGACAGACTGGAGGTGCCCTTCTGCTGCGCCCCAGCCCCTGCTCCCCCTTCCCTGCTCCCCATGACAGCGGCCCGTGTGGCAGGTGCGGGGCAGGGGCGTTAAATGGCCCCACGAGGGCTCTGTTCATCACCAGTGTGACCCAACTGTGGGACAAGGCATCAAATCGTCCTCTCATTTGGCTCCTCCCAGAGCTGCCTGCATCGGGGTGGCTGGATCCAGGTGCCAGGTTGTCATTTACCTTTTTCCTACTGTTTATTTCTGCCTCCTTTTGTTTTTTTGTTTTTTTTTGAGAAGCCTCTTCCTGTTGAGGACAAAGCATCCAGCAGCTTCAGGCCCCAAAACCAGGCTGGGACTTAAGCAGGCAGGCCACGTCCTCCCCTGTGGTCCTCTAGGACGTTGCCACTTCACTGCACCCGTCACGTGGGGCGGGGTGCAGGCGGGGCCTGGGCTCAGACACCTGGAAGGCCTCAGGGAACCGGTCTGCTAGCACAGGAGGGAGAGAAGTGTGGATGGACAGCCTGGCCCAGCTGCAGGGCGTGAGCACAGACGCTGGCCTTTTTAAAACGGGGGTCTCATTTTCTATCCTGTGAGGTGAGACATAGCTGCTGTGTTCTGGGTGAAAGGGGAAATGTGATCATGCTTTTAGAGCTCTTGCCAAGTGTTTGCTGTATACAGTAGTTGCTCAGTAAGTGATGCAGCCAGGGCGAGGGCTGTCCCTGTTTAGATGCTGAAACTGAGGCAGTTTGGTGGAGGAAGTGCATCTTCTGGGTCTGGTTGGGGCAGTGGCATGTTGCACTCAAGCCACCTGCTGAGCTGTGGGTTCCACACTTCCTGCCCTGTCTCAGCCTTGCAGCTGCTTGCTGGGTGACTGCATGTGGTCTTCTTGTGCCGCCAGAAGGCTGTCTCTGTCCTGACCTGCTGTCCTGGCTGTGCTGCCCGAGGAGCACGGGTGCCCCCCCACAGCTAGGGCAGGGGCGGTGCTCAGGTTAAGACCCGTGCATCGGGGTGACTGCGGTTCTAGGTTTCTAGGTTCCCGCAGAGGTGACATCCCGCAGTAGCTGCAGCCCCACCTACTCGAGGCACCTCCCGACGCCCTCCCCTCGCCCCATCCCCTCCCAGGCCACTGCCTTTGGAAACACCGCCTACATCTTCCTTTTTCCTGTGAGCTGTGACCCCAGACAACTGCTGGGGTCAGGTCTTCTCATTCACTGACCACTGTGCCCCAGGACTGGGGCAGTGACTGAGCAGCTGCTCCTTTGGCCTTTGTGGGGACCTTTGACTTCTATGCCCCAGTGGAGTCTGTTTTCAGATGTTCCTGGGGTGGTCCCTGAGATGAAGCCTGGTTCACGTGCTGACTCTTCTTTCTCACGGATGTGAGGCCCCCACCCCTGGAGCTGCACGGCCTTCTCGCGGACCAGGGTGTCTTATCCACTCTTGACCGTCACAGTTTCACATCCTTATGTTGAATGTATCTGGATTTTTAAACATATGGTTTGATGGTCTTTGTCTTACCTAGACCACCTGCCCATTTGTGTTTATGAAAATTACTGTGTTTGAATTTATTTCTACCATCTTACCTCATACTCTGTCCTGTCATTGCGAACAGATTCCTCTTTTCTCCTTTTGGACTAATTTTTTTTTTTCTCTTATCTAAACTGGAATTCACTCACTTGACTTCCCTCGTGGCTGCCTTGGGTATTTTAACACAGAGAATTCATTTATCAAAATTTAATTTATATTTTTACTCCCCTCCAAACAGTCTGGAGCTCTTAGATACTTCCTCCCAGTCCTGTTTCCTCTGGGTGGGAGGACTATGTTTCCTACCTGATGCTTTCAGGGTCTCACCCTCTTTCCAAGGGTCATCACCTAGGCACGTCCAGGGCTTTCTGTCCATTCCCCTGCCTCTCCTGAGCGGTACAAATGCTCCTCAGATGCACACAGCAGAATGATCCCCATTCCTGGTTTTACTTGGCTTTTGCCCTCCAGGGTTCTGAACTGTCTTCCTGTCTCATCAGCAGACAAAATTTTTTTTTCCCACAGTTTAAAACTGTCATAATAGTGTGCGTTCTCTCTGAAGAGGGTTGGTCAGAGCTATACGTTTCATTATTGTGACAGAAATGGCAGGGTTCTCCAGAGTCTCTTCCCCCAGGAGGTCCTGGGCTAGCCCTCTGTGTGTGTGTGTGGAGGGGGCGTGTCTGCAGCACGGGGACCCCAGTCTCCCTGGTGGCCTGGCCGGCTTGGCCCTGCCAGGAAGGCACTGTCTCTCCTGTTATTGGAACTTGGCTTCTTGGTTTATCGGTGCACGCTGTGGTCACGTGTTCACACACTCAGCAGTCTCACACCCCGTGCCACGCAGGCTGCAGGGGCAGAGAGGCCTGGCTGTGGGCCAGGGTCCGGCTCGGCCCCAAGCCTACTGGGGGCAGTGCTGCTGGGCACCAACCGGTCCTGCTCCTGGGGCTTGTGCCCCAGATGGAGCCCATCAGGAGCCAGCACTGAGCATGTCTGTTCTGCAGCCCATGGAGGGAGCTGGGCTCAAGCACCTGCTCAGCCACAGGTGACCGAAGCGCTCCTGCAGTGGGGTGCTGAGGAGCGGGCGGCAGTCCCCACCACTGCAGCCTCGGCCTGGCAGGTCTGAGGGACAGGGAGGGGCAGCTCTGCCTGCAAGTGAACCCAGTGAGTTCACCTGCAGCTGCACCGCCGGCGCTCAGCCAGGGGCGACTGTCGGCATGTCCCATTGCATTTTTTGCGAGTTTTTCATGTGTCTCTACTTCCCCTTCAGTCAGGTGCTTTTCAAGAGGTGGGGCTGCAGAGCTCAGGTGAGGAGCCGGCCTAGGGCTCCCGTCGGCAGCTCCAGGGCCTGTGCGCAGGCCGTCTTAAGGGTTCTTGGCGGGCAGGGAGATAAGAAACCTCCTTCAGATGTGGGGTGTATGTGGAGCATTTTGGGGAGCTGACCAGGACAGAGTGAGGGTGGCCAGCGGTGAGCCTCCGTTCAGTCACCCGTGGAAACAGAACATCCACACCTTCTACTGGAGAAGGCCAGACCTGAGACTGAGCCGCAGGGCAGGGCAGCAAGGGTGTCCTGTGTCCAGTCTGGACCAGGGAAGCCTGGCAGAGGACTGGGCAGGCAAGAAGCGCCCAGGGAGCGGCGAGTGCTGGCGCTGCTGCCGCTCCCGTGCTCTGTTGTCCCGCAGTGTTTCCGGGGCTCCCTTCCCTCAGGGGTGCTCTGTTCCCTCGTGGGTGGGGCAGACGGTCCGGGAGTGAGCACGAGAGAGTCTGACACTGGCTTTGCTGAGTTTCACTGGAAACTCAGGTCCTTCCACTGCAGTGAGTGTGGTGGACTCGCTGAGCGGAGGTCGGAGGTCTGCGTGCTCAGTGAGCACTGGCGGAGGGCGGTGCTCTGACGTCACGGGGAGGCCGTCCCGCTACTGGAGTGCCACTGGCTCCTCGCGCTGGAGTCCAAGCTCGCTCTGCTCACCGCACAACAGGCCACTGAAGCCGTGAGGTGAGATGCTGAGGCAAGGCATACTTTATTCAGAGGGCCGGGTGACGGAGAAGATGGCAGACTAACGTCTCAAAGTGACCATCTTGCCGGGGTCTGGATGCCAGGTTCTTTTATGCATCAAAGACGGGTGGGAGGTGAGGAAACAAAGTAAAAAGGCCATTAATCTTGTGAACATTTACTAGGATGGCAAGCCTCCATCAGGGGGTTGTGTCATTTTCGTCCTTCGTGCCATCTACAGGTGGACAGGGTTCTGAACAAAGGCACTTTAACAGTCAGGGAGAGGGGCACAATTCTCTGAGGCAGGCCACTATGTGTGATTATAATAACAAGAGCAACGAAAAGCAAGTCCAAGAAACAGTTTCAGCATGGAGTCAGAAGTGACTTCTCCGTGCAACCCTGCCTTTGTGGGGATCCTGTCCTGTTCTGCTGCCTCGGGTCACTGCACCACCCCACACCCCTCCCTGAAGCCCCCACAGGGTTTTGTGGGCCAAGGCAGCTGGGGGCTCAGCCTGGGGGGGTGGGGACTGGCAGCCCTCTGGTCTCCGGGGTGACGGGAGTGTCAGTGTTGGCCCCCCGTGACCATGCAGACCACAGCTGTCTCTCACTGACCTCCTAGAGCTGGGGTGCCGTGTGGGGCTGTTGCCGTCACGACCAGACCATGTGCAAGGCCCTGGCTCCTGAATACGCGACAGAGACCCTTCTCTCTGAACAGTCCTGCAGGGGCCCCATGTCTGCTTTGTTGGTGAGGGACGTGCCCTGCGGGTGAGCAGAGCAGGGTCCGTGTGTCTTAATGGCCTGTGGGTAACCCTGAGGCCAGGCAGGAGCCAGGTGCTGGCCCCACGACGGCAGCTTTCTGGGACCTTGAAGGGCAGCACCAGCCTCCGAGATTAACTGCATGCATGTCCACTTGACTCTGCAGAGCCGTGTCCTTTCTGTGTGGGTGCATCAGACATCCTTTCCCAGAAGGGTCTGAAAAGCTGGTTCTGACCTATAGGTCGATTCTATAACTTGCTGAGGGGTTAGGTCACAATGTTCAGCATAACAGCGTGGCGGGGCGCTGGAGGAGGGGAGTCAGTGAGAACAGCTGGGCGGGAGATGCGGAGGCGGAAATGCCAGCCCGGCCTGTTCTGAGTGGGAGAATGGGGCCTTGTGCCTCCAGCTCAGAGCCAGGCTTTCAGAGCTGGAGACTGAGTTGGGCTCATTGTTTAGAACTTGGAAAACTTATTAAAAACAGCATTGAGAATGGAACGTAGGCCTTCTGGAAATGATGGCTGAGCAGAGACTTGTTTATTCTTCTTCCCTCCCTGAAACTCACTGAAATGGACAAAAAGAATGAAAACTGGATAACAGGATTTTATCTCCAGTGAATCAGGGATAAGCGAAGCCGGAGAATGGTGTCAGCCAGACGGGGAGGAGGAGAAAGAGAGAGCCTCGAGCAGCGTGCAGTTTCCCCACTGGAGCACTTGGAAGGGACCGTTGATGACATTTACTTGGCAGAAAGGGGTCTGTGGTCTGGGTGGGCCTTGGGGTAAACCAGATGTAGGTGGGTGTCTGGTGAGAGATGAGCTGAAGGAGGAAGGCCCAGGTGTTCAAGTGCACTTTCTACAAGAGCCAGATTCTTATGGGGTGAGGTGGGGGAGGGAATGGAGATGGCCCTCCCCGGGGACATGCTGGCAGGGCCTTGGGCCTCATCCCCCTTACAGTGGGGCTGAGAAGAGGCCTCCTGGTGAGTCATCTTGCAGGTGGGCAGGCGGTCACCTCAGAGGAGCTTTGGCAGGAGGCCCTTGAGATGCCCTTGGAGCCAGCTTCCAGCCCGTCCCCTCGAAGCACTGCAGAGGCCGGGGACCCTGTCCTCAGAGACCAGGAGACTCTTGCTGGAACCAGAGGAAGAAACATCTGGTTGTATTTGTGGTGCTGCTGCGCGCAGTGCGCCAACCTGCACAGAGACAAGCCAAGCCACGCGGGGCGTCCTGGGAACCCAGACGGCCTTACCGGGTGCAGGTGCAACTCTGTCTTCAGTTGGAGTTGGGTTTCTGTCACTTGGAACCAAAAACTGTCCTAAGAGCAGAAACTCACTTCCAGAGTGGAGCCTGTAAAGAAATTTGGTGATCAAACTTTCAGGAGCAGCACAACTGGCTGGGGCTCCCCATGTCTGGCCTGTCCCTGTCCTCATTTACAGACAAACAGTGACCAGGAGCCAGAGTGGGAGCCTTGTGCAGATACCGGGAGGAGGAGGGGAGGGAACTGAGCACTTGGGAGAAGAAGTGGGGGCGGGGGGCTAGCAGAGCCGAGAAGGGAGGACAGGGCTATGGCAGCCACGAGAGCCCACGAGCAATGCAGATACAGGGCGGCTGCGGCACAGAGGCCCGCAGCCCCGGGACAGCTGCTCTGGTCGAAGAGAATGGCCGCACAGAGACGAGCAGATGGGGCGGGGAGCTGTGGTTGGTGCTGGAGTCTGGGGAAAAGGCCGTCCAGGGAGGGCAGGAGATGCCCTGGGTTGGAGGGCTGGTTTACACATTGAGAGTCGAGTTTGGGAAGAACTGGGTGTGAAATGAACAGCATGGCCCAGGCCATAGTACCCAGACAGAGCCCTCTGCTCCAGAGGCGGGGCCGTGGGCAGTGGTGGGCAGGGCCTGGGGGTGCCCTTGGGAGGAGGGTCCTGGAGTTGGAGTGTCTGCAACCATGGTACTCTGCAAGGGATCTTTGTCTCTTCTCCCCATCTTTCTTACTCTGTGTCGTTATATCAACGTGGACTTAGGGACGTTTACTTTATACTTTGCGTTAAACAATTTAGTATGGCTTTCTTTTTTTTTCTCAAAATGTTGCAGCTTTGGTCACTAGGAGCTCTTTTATTTGACACTGCTGTCCCTTTGACAGGCCTCTTCACTGTGGGGCTGTGTTTTTGTCTTAAGTCTTCCTAACCTTCTGACTCTGCAGGACTTTCCCTCCAGGGTCATCATGTCTGTTTGCCTTCTGCAGTTTCTGAAGATTCTGGGCATGAGTGTGGGAGCTGCTCTGCTTGTTGCTGCTCTTAGGCCCTCTCGTGTGTTTGTGTGAACTGACCTGTGTACACACACACGTATGTGCAGATCTTCACATTACAGTAAAGGCGGGCGCAGGACTCCACCTCCAGTCCATCACCTCGTAGGTTGTTCTGGATGCCTCCCTCACTGGTTCCTGACTGTCCACTGCTGCTGCTCCCCACTCCTTCAGATGTCTCCCTGAAGTGGGAGGCATGTGAACGGAAAGGTGTGAAAGCAATGGCGAGGAACCCGGAGAGGTTTTGTAAACCAAGACACGTACGATGGCAGCCCACGGCGCTGGTGACTCCAGGTCAGGCTTCTGTCTCTCACTCCTGGGAGCCACACTCATGCACCACTGGGGACGGTGAGCAGGTCTGGGTGGCCACAGCAGGCTCCTGTGCTGAGGCTGGGCTGCGGGCCCCCGGTGGCAGGGCTCCCCCTGCGCCTGCAGTCCCCATGTGCAGCCACTTGGGTGGGCACTCCAGTGTCCTAGGGTGCTTTTAGTTAGCATTTCCCAATGACGAAAGAGGTGGCGCACAATTCTCTCTGCCTTTACTGGATATTTTTTTAAGTGTGTTTTCAAGTCTTTTGTCTTTTTTTCTGTCGAGTATTTGTTTTTTCTTATTTATTTCTAGGACCCTTATATGAGTTGTGGAAATAGTCCTTTGTTAGGTCAGATAGGTACACACGCATATGTAATACATGATACATATTCTGTGCAGCAAATATCTCCCACCCAGGGTTTGTGTTTTTACTTTTAATAGAAAAGTTTATTTTTAAAAATTTTATTGAATTATAGCTCATTTACAGTGTTGTATTAATTTCTGATGTACAGTGCAGTGATTCAGTATACATATATATGTTCTTTTTCCTATTCTTCCCCATTATGGTTTATCACAGGATCCTGAATTCAGTTCCCTGTGCTATACAGTAGTTTATCCATCCTATATATAGTTTGTATCCACTGATCTCAAATTCCCTATCCTTCCCTCCCCCACACCTCGCTTTGCCAACACAAGTTTGTTCCCTTTGTCTGTGAGTCTGTTTCTGTTTCATAGACAAGGTCATTTGTGTTGTAGTTTATGTTTCACGTAAAAGTGATATCACATGGGATTTGTCATTTTCTGAGTTCCTTCCCTTAGTGTGACACCTCCAGGTCCATCCATGTTGGTGCAAGTGGCATTATTGCACTGTTTGTTATGCCTGAGTAATATCCATGATGGTAAAGATTTATAAACAGAGGTTCTTAGTGTTGTAGTCCAATTTTTAATGCTTCTTTTGTGGTGAGTGGTTTTGTGTCTGATTAAGTGTACCTACTACAAGACCACAAAGATTTTCTTCCACGTTTTCTCTAAAAGTCTTATTGTTTCACTTTATTATGTCTGTTTTTGGCTGGGGGTGGGTCTTCATTGCCATGCCCAGGCTTCTCTAGTTGCAGCATGTGTGCTCAGTTGCCCCGAGGTGTGTGCGGTCTTAGTTCCCCGACCAGGCATGGAACTCATGTCCCCTGCGCTGGAAGGCGGATTCTCAACCACTGGACCACCAGGGAAGTCACTTTATTGTTTTGTCTTTAATGTTTGGAGCTGTGGTTTACCTTGAGTTGAGTGTGGTGTATCAGGTGAGGTAGGGGTCGAGGTTCATTGTTTCCCATGTGTAAACCATGCCATTGCAGCACCATTTCAGAATAGCCCCTCGGCTGTAAATCTGGGCCCTGTGTGTGCATAGACCACCCTCAAGTGCTGCCCAGCCTCTCCCCATGGATACCCACCTGGAAGCACCAGTGGGTGGTGCTGACCCTGTTCAAAGGCAAGGACCCGCTCTCAGAGGGGCAGGCAGCTCACCCAGGGCCAGCTGGCAAGGGGTCTGAATGCCCTCCCCGGGGGCCAGACCCTGGCTGGCTTCAGGGTCGGGCGCTCCATTCACACCAGCGACCTGGGCTATGGAAAGGGCTGGGCTGGCTGTTCCTGGTGCCCCAAACCCCGAGGCATAGCAGTGTGGCTTCTTCTGTCTTGTAGGACGATGCCTTCCTGACTGATGCTGGAAGGCATCCTGATGACCGGCTGACGGCCGTCCCCCTGGGTCCTGAAGAAGAGGCTGCCATGTCCCAGGCACAGGACTACGAGTGCGAGAGCCAGCATGCCAGCCTGCTGGAGTCCCGGGTGTCAGGGTCCAGCACAAGGTGAGGAGCCTAACCTGTGCGACCAGGAGAGCCAGAGCCTTTTGCTCAGCTCGGCAGCAGGCACGTGGGGCTGGCCTGCTCCCTGTCCCTCGGCCACTGCACTGCAGGCCAGGGAGGGCTTCTCCGTGGGCAGTGGATACCCTGCCAGCTCTCAGCTGGGCTCTGCCCCTTAGGCCTTCTCTGGACATCCATGCCGAGGCAGGCAGCCGCAGATGGTCACTTTCGTTTATGTGATTTATGGCATAACTTGGGAATAATTCCACAAGTTGCCCAAAGAAGAGTGCAGTGTATATCCAGGCCCCTTACCCGGATTCACGCTCTGGCGGCTGTGTGGTCACTGTTACCCCCAGCCTGCTCTGGGCCACCGGCGGGATGGGGCCCGTCTCCCAGAACAGGGGGGCACCATGCGGCTTGAGGCTCCAGGCTCCTGCGCCGCTATTTGCCTTTGGCCCCGGGTTCCCTGCCTCCTCCTTGGCATTTCTGGCCCCTCCAGCACCACTCACCCTGCGGCTGCTGCATGTCCCCTGGAACATTTCCACTTCCTATCTCTGCCTTTTGTGACATCGACATCTTTTCAGTGGACAGACTGGCCCTTTGGTTTGGTCTGTCTGAGGGTTTCTGAGTGGACTGTGTCCCTCTGCAGGGTCCCGGCCACCTGCCACCCCTGCTCTCGGGACAGTGGCTGTTTTTCCTGCCCCTGTGCTCCTCACCAGCTTTGGGGCTCCCACCCTTTCTGGGCCTTCCTGGGGTGAGTGTGGAGCCGGCCAGCCTCCTAGCAATGGCACCCGGCCTACTCCGGGGGGCCAGTGCCCAGCGTCTTGCATTCACTTGAACCTCTTCTTGCGGAATCACGAGTTCTGTTGCTTTACGTGGTGTGTTGCTTTCTCCGCACTTTGGATCCTATTGCAGGGCCCCGTGTCACAGGGGACATGTTTACTCACACTTGCCCCCCTTTCTCCTGGTCGATTGCCTGGGACACACTTGGCACCCATTAGGCTCTTCTGGAAGTGAGTCTTTGAACAGGTCACTGTCTGAAGTGAAAGTCTGCAGGACTTGGAGAACAGAGGGGCGGTTGTCCACGCAGCATCTTGGGCACTGGGGAGAGGCTGCAGCCAGTCATACCCAGAAACCACCGTCATCTTGAGTCTTCTCCCACTTCATGCCAGACACTGTCGCCAGATGAATCTCGCTCAGACTCGACAGCCTCCACAGTGTGACTGGGCCACGGTGGTCAGCCCATCACCCGCAGGCTCTGACCCTTCTCAGCCACGTGCCCTGTGACTGAGCATCCTGTGCCCTGCCACTCCCGCTGACCAGGGTTCGGGGTCTGCACAGGGCCTGCCTTCCCTCCCAGCCATGGGGTCTGCTGCCACCAACCTTGCTCCCGACCCTGACCAGACTCCGGGTTCCAGCATATTCTCTGCCCCCTGGGTCCCTGCGGGTCTTCATTAAAAGTGCTGTGGGGGGCACCCAGAACATTCTGAGAAAACGGGGTCCTGCCCACATGCACACAGTAGTGTGCTGAAAAGGAACCAGCTTCTTTTCTTTTTTTCTTTTCTTTTCTTTATTCAGAGAGAATTACCACCAGTAAATTCATTTGAAAGTGTATTTAGAGCTATAAAAGGAGTTGTTACTGCTTCCCCGGGGCTCACAGTGTTCAGTCCAGTACTTTCTGAGCATCTCTGCTGGGCCAGGCCTTCCTTGGGCACCTCTGCCCTTTGTCCCAGCTGATGCCATGCCGCAGCTCGAGGGGCATGCAGGCCATCAGCTGAGGGTGACCGCAGAATTGAGAGCTTCCCTCTTCACAGGAGTGAGGTCTCCAGGCCCTTCTGTCCCTGTGAGGACTGCCCTCGGGCAGTGCCTTCTGGCTGCCAAGGGTGGGGGCAGGTGTGTCCTCAGGCCAAGAGTGGATGGCGCCCGCTGAGTTGTGTTGGGGGGATCTCCATCCTGGGGGGCAGGGGGCATGATGCTTCCCAGTTTAGAACTTTGCTCTGTCCTCTCCAGAGAATGGCCAGCTAGCAGGCAGGAGCGGAAGAGTCGGGCCTCGCCCCCCCCTCCCCCCGCTGGGCAGGGTGATGGCAGTGGAGGTTGGGCCCGGGAGGGGCCTCCGGGGACACCGGTAACAGTGGGCACACGTGAGGCCCCCTGCCCACCTTCCACAGGCACTGGCCTTGCAGGGTCACTAGAGATCAGACGCCACGCAATGCTTGCAGGGCGCAGAGATGCTGCAACCTCTCATGACCCTGTCCCTCTAGCTGTCCGATCCCATGATGCCTCCCCATCTCTGCCCCACCTTCTGCAGGATGGCGGGTTAGGCAATGGTCCCACGCTTGCAAGCACAGAGCCCCGGCGCCCTCCCCCACCGGGTGGCCTAGTGTGGCCATGCCGCAGGGGTTGCGCTTCAGACGTGGCCGAGCCCTGAGGTGGCTCCCTCCTGCGTCCCTCCTCCAGCCCTCAGCGTCCTCAGGGCTCCCCCTCGCTATTGCTCCCTCATCTCCTGCCCCCTCTTGGCTTCACATCTTCCAGCTGCTGTACCCTGCCCACTTGGCCAGCCTGCCCCTTTGCTCTGAGAGCTTCCAGAAGACACTGTGCATCCAAAAGAGGCCCCCAAGCCTGCGGGGCTGCTGCAGGGCGTGTGTGTGTGTGTGTGTGGGGGGGTGTTATTCCTTGAAGTAGACCAATCCTCCTGGCCTTGAACCACACAGAGGGACCTGCCTCCACACACNTGTGTGTGTGTGTGTGTGTGTGTGTGTGTGTGTGTGCGCGCGCGCGCGCGCGGGGCTGCTGCAGGGCGTGTGTGTGTGTGTGTGTGTGTGTGTGTGTGTGTGTGTGTGGTGGGGGCTCATCGCCCTGCAGGGTTGTGCCTTCTCTCCTCCCCTCCCTGAGCACATCTGGTCTCAAAGGGCGGGATGAGGTTCTCAGAGAAGATTGTCAGCACTGTCCCCTCAGTCCTCTGGTAAAGCCCACCTGGGCTCCTGCCTGGAAAACTGGGCTTGCGGCAGAGGGTAAGGAGCGGGGTGCTCCCCTTCTCTGCAGGTCCTGGAAGCTTCTGACCATCCCAGTGCTGGTGAGGACCAGGCCCGTCACAGAAGTGATATTTAAGGGATTGTTACTTGTGTAGAAACTTGGAAGCAGAGTGAAATATGCTCCCTACCTGTCAGCTGGAGCACATGTGATGTCAAACACATTGGCATTCACATTGCCTTATTCTGAATAGGGTTTTTTTGTTTTTGAATAGTTTTAATTTACACTGTTTTTTTTAAGGATCTTAGCTGCATGACAGGCTTCTCCTTGGGGCGGGGTGTGCTTGGGGGCTTCTGGGGGGAACCAGCTCTGCTTTTGACTGGGGCAGCACAGAGATGTTGGCGTCCCTTCCCAGTGCGGGTGACAGGTGGCGCTGGCAGCCAGTGGTGGCTGCTGTTAAGAGCAGCCAGGCATCCGGGAGGGACGTGGCGCCGTCTGGGAGGACAGTGAGCAGTGCCCATGGCCCAGCCCCCTGCAGACGGGGAGCCAGAACCCAGGGCGTCCCTGATGTGGGGCCGGGCCAAAGACCCTGCCGCCCAGGGCTGGGCTCTGATGAGCGTTTAGAAAATCAGGAGTGGATGGAATTTACATAAGCTTTGGTTTTACTCTTATATGTGAAGAGATTTCTTGCTTTTGAGGCTGGCAGACACGAGGAAGGTCTGGTGCTGGATACGCCAGCCTGCGGACTTGGGGCCCAGAGCAGGTGGCCTGATGGGCGTGATCCTTGGTCTCCGGGTGGGTGGGGTTCCCCAGCCCCGCCTGACGCTGCCCCCTCCCCCAGGCTGGAGTGGGTGGAGATAATCGAGCCGCGCACACGCGAGCGCATGTACGCCAACCTGGTCACCGGCGAGTGCGTGTGGGACCCGCCGGCCGGCGTGCGCATCAAGCGGACCAGCGAGAACCAGTGGTGGGAGCTCTTCGACCCGAACACGTCACGCTTCTACTACTACAACGCCAGCACCCAGCGCACCGTGTGGCACCGGCCGCAGGACTGTGACATCATCCCCCTGGCCAAGCTGCAGACCCTGAAGCAGAACACGGAGTCGCCGCGCGCCTCGGCAGAGAACAGTCCCGGGCGGGGCAGCAGCGTCAGCCGCGATGGCAGCACCAGCTCGTCCCTGGAGCCCGAGCTGGATGCCGGCGACAGGGCGCAGGAGCTTGTGGGCCGCGCCAGCCGGCAGGCCGCGCCAGGGGTGGTGAAGGACGAGAGTGGCAGGTGAGGCGGGCCCCTGCACCCTACCACCTCTGGGGGATCTGTGCGCTCCCCTGTGACCACCCGGGCGGAGCTGGCCGAGGCCTGCCGGGCCCTGCCGGGGCTGGAGTTTCTCTGGCTAATCGTGAAATTGTTTGGGTCTCTCCACTGTGGGAAGTGCTCCCGTGATGGGGGCACCCCAGAGCTGGCTCCCAGAGCTCCTGTGATGGAGGGGTGCCCTCCCCAGGCCCGCTGGCCTGTTCTCTGGATGCAGATCCATGGGGGTCTCTTGGCTGGCCCCACCTGACTCCAGGCCTCCCTGCCCGAGCTTGACTGACCTCACCAGCACCGAGGGAGGTGAGGGCATCACCCCTGTTTTGCAAAGGAAGGACTGAGGCTGTCAGCAGTGGGGCAGAGCACTGTCCTGGGAGCCCCTGGGGTGTTGGCTTGTCCAGCAGCCACTGTGGCTGTTTTCCCTCCTGGTCTTGCAGACAGTGAGGCCGTGGACACCTGGGCTCCCGCCTCCTGCTGGCCTCCTATCTGGATGTTACCCCCCGGTGCTTATGCGCCCCCGCCAAGTGCCCATATGGCAGAGCCTGAACCCCAGGGAGCCGTTCCCCAGGGCTAGCATTCAAGGGACCCAGTCCAGAAGAAATGGCTGGAGCGCATGTGACCTGGATAAACCCAGACAGGCTGGAAGTTACCAGAAAGAAGCCCGGGAGGAGCAGGGGTGGGCATGGTCCTGGGAGACCAGGTGGCTGGGCCGCCCGGTGACAGCGGAGGTCACAAAGCAGTCGAAGGCCGGCCTAGGCTGCGGGCCTGTTTGCTCCCGGGAGGGTGACGTGCCAGGCTGGGAGTGCAGCACCCGTGCTGAGGGTGTGCGAGAGAGAGCCTGGCCCGCACAGGGCAGGGCTGTGGGCAGGGGCCTGGGCACGCGGGCCGGAGTGGCCCGAGAGGCTGCTGGGAGTCGTCCTCATGAAGCAGAGCCTGGGATGGTCCCCAAGGAAAAAGCAAGCGAGTGAGGTTTAGAGACAGCCCTGCATCCCTCTGATGTTCTGCTGAGCTCAGACCGGTGCTGCTGCCTGTCCAGCAGACGTGACAGCCTCTGGGCCCAGGTCCCCCACAGCGGCATTGCTGGTGGTGATTGCTGGCTCTTCCCCTGCAGGCCGGTGAGGGACTGGACTCTTCTTAGGTTCTGTTGGCAGACGTTCTGGGGGCAGGGGTGTCCTCTTCCCAGAGGTGTCCGGTATGGTGACTCGGATCATGGTGTTGCCTTTGGATCAGCCTCCCACGAGGAGCTCAGTTGGAGGTGGATTAGAATTGTGTTTAAACTGTGGGGCAGGTTGGGGGACTAGGCACCTTGCTTGTGTCATCTTCTCCCATTCATGAAGGTAGTACATTTTATATGTTTTTCCACAAAGAACTTGCACTTTTTAAAGATTTTTAGATACCATATAAAGTCATGCGATCATTACTGGTATTCAGGTACTACTTTTAAAAAATTAATTTTATTTATTTATGTTTGACGTTGCTGCACGGGCTTTTCTCTCGTTCTGGTGAGCAGGGACTACTGTCTGGTTGTGGTGTGCAGGCTTTTCATTGCACGACTGCTCTTGTGGGCACAGGGTCTGGAGTGCGTGGGCTTTGGTAGTCGTGGAGCACGGGCTCAGTAGTTGCACTTCCTGGCTCTAGAGCACAGGCTCAGTAGTTGTGGCACAAGGGCTTTGTTGCCCCGCAGTACGTGGGATCTTCTCGGGCCAGGGATCGAACCCATGTTTCCTGTGTTAGTGGGCAGATTCTTTAGCATTGAGCCACCAAGGAAGGCCCCATATGTTATATTTATACGTCAGTTCTGTTTGTACACTTGTTGAGCTCTCATTATAGTTGAGCGCACTGTCTCCAGAGTTGCCGTGACTCTGCCAGCTGGCCGGTTCTCCCCAAGGAGACGGGGCCAGGGAGGCAGGCAGGCCCACTGGCCCTGTGATACTGTGTGTCGGGCTGGCATGTCCCTTTCTCTTATTAGGCTTCTCAGCATGAATGGATGGGGAATCCTGTCCAGTATGTTTCTGTGTCTTGTGGGTTGAATTTGCCCCGTCCTGTTCTCAGCATCTGTGAATGTGACCTTCTGGAGACACAGGGCTGTTGTGGACACTGTTGGTTAAGCTGAGATGGGCCCTCCTGCAGTGGGCAGGGCCCTGATCCCTCAGGACTCTTGTCTTTGCAAGAATACGGAGACGCACAAGACGACACCCTGCTGGCGAGGCAGACAATTTCTCTTCTCTGTTAGCTCTAGGGTTCTCTGTGTGTTTGTTGGGTCAGATCTGTTAATTGTATCAGTTGAATTCTTTACTAAGTTTTGATCTGCGGAGACACACGGATTCGGATTCGGGGAGGTGAAGTCCCCCCAGGGGGTGGGAGTGGTCTGTCCTTTCTTCTTGTCTCGCACTGCTGCTGTCCTGCCTGGAAGCTGTGGGTTGGCTGCAGGGAGTTTTGCAGTCCGTGTTCCCAGCTTGCTTCCCTGTGTCGTATCACTAATGCTTTCTGCCTTGACTTGTGCTTTGGAACCAGGGTCAACCACTTCCCCGTGGTTCGTATTTGCCCCTGAACAGCCGGCCTTCTCGTGTGTGTTAGATGTGTTCCTCCTCAGGGACCCCTAGGGTCTGGTCACTTTCATCCCTTCTAACACTTGGCCTTGGTGTGGTGGGATGATTGTGGGGTGCTTCCTGGGGACCCCTGATTCAGTGGAGGATGTGCTGTCACCTCGGCTCCTCCAGGCCAGGCCCTTCCCACCCCTTCCTCCTGTGCGTTCCCATGTGCTGAACACATGCGTTGCTGCCCAGTGTGTTCCTGGGTGCTCCCCCAGAATGCTGCATTCACCCCGCAGCCTGGGGAAGCCTGCACCCCCACTCTGCACCTGGGGCCCGTTGGGGGCCTGGGGCTGAGCAGGCAGAGCCTCAGGGGTGCGAGGTGGCTGCTTCTGTAGACTTGCTCCTGTCCAGTGTGCGGGTGGCCTTGCTCTACAGACCCCCTCATGCCTGCTGATGGGTCCCTGGAGCCCTTGATTTTGATGCAAGCAAGTTTACTGTAATTTTCACCTTGTTTGTTTTTAATGTTTTGTTTAAAAAGTTCTTTCCTGGCCTTGGTCCAAAGGTATTTGCTTACGTGTCTTGTGTTAACTGTGGTTTCTTGCACGTTGTAGCCTGCATCCGCCCACACCACGTGCTGCCCTGTACCCCAGTTACGCTGTCCGTGTGCTCTCTCAGGGGCCATTGCCTCTCAAGCCTCAGTGCTGGGAAACAATCCTGTCTCCCTTTGTATTTACAGCCATCTTAGCTAATTGTGGGCTTTCCTTCTACCATTCAAGGCCTGGAGTTCAAGCTCCTCAGAAAACCCAGGTGGCTTTGCATGCTTAATAGACTATAGTTCAGTGTGAACGTAATGTTTGTTTGCACTGAGACACCAGAACATTCATGTGACTGGCTTTATTGCACTAGTCTGGAACCAGTACTGTAGCTCATAAAGCGTGTCTCCTGTGTGGGAATGGGGATCTTGCTTCTTGTTCCAATTTCTGAGGCCCGCGAAGGAGATGCTAAAGCAGCTTGATACTGCTTGTGACTCAGACATCCATTGTCATCAAAATGACTGTTGCAGTCTCAGTGTCTCATATAAGCACTGTTTGCCTTATAATTTCAGGTTGAATTCATTGAGAAACATTGTAAAATCTAAAAACCCCTCACATTCAATGTTAGATGATAGTAGTTGAGTAGAATCTTCTCTCAAACAGAAAATTTCCACCTAGGCCATGAGTTTTAAAAAATTGCAGCAAAGCTTTCTGTTTTCAAGCTTTTAAACTGCTGTGTAGTGGGTCAAGTTGGGATGCTTCCCTTCTGTTTCTGACACAGACCTGTGGGACCAGTAGCAGCTGAGTCCAGGAGGGCTGAGGCTGCTGGCGGCCTGGGCGGCTGCTGAGCACCGGCCTGCTGCCGGGGCTTGCCGCGCCCCCGCGGTGCCAGCCCGCGCCCTGTGCCGGTCCCCGGCGCATGTTTTAGGCACGGGCTGTCGTGGCACATGTCAGCTGTACTCGGGCTGCACTGAATTAGGTGTTTCCTCAGTTTCTTTGGTAGCAGTTTCACCTGTAGTCGTTCCGCAGAGATGACTCGTGAAGGCCAGTTCCCCAGTCCTGTCAAGCTCAGCTGTGACTCCTTAGTGCAGTGACAGCGCGGAGTAGTGCCAGGAGCCCCGGCACCCCCCAGGCCCCGCTGCCGAGCGGCTCTCACTGTCCATGCCTCGAGGCTGCTGGTCGAGCAGGCTTGCTTCCTCTGGACACGTGCCCTCAGCTGCTCTTGTCGGCACAGGTTAATGCTTGTTGCCTGTGAACAGCGTGGCTGCTCTCCCTGCTGGGCTAACAGATGAGCCGCTGGGAAGCACACGTGGTGTGAAGGCCCCTTCCGTTTTCATTGAAGTAATTCTGCTGCGATGGGATTCCTGTCTTGGGCTCTGATTGCTCTGCACCTTGCAACACTGCAGCAGGGCCGTGTGTCTGCCTGGCCCAGTGGCACAGAGCCTGCACACTGCCAGAGGCAGAGCCATCCAGGCCCCCGTCTGTGGCTGGCAGATCAGCTGTGTGGGGGCACTCAGGTCACTGAGTTGTGGCTGCACCTGGGACCTGCGGTGTGCTGAGTGGTGCAGCCACCGTCTCTGGCCTCTGTTGTGGCCACACAGGACTGTGTTCCCATGACGTGCTCCTGACAGACACTGGAATTTGAATCGCATGTAAATTTCACACACAAATAAATTTCAGTGTATAAACCATTCATTGCCCACCTGCTGTACAACACCAGGCACTGGAGCTGGATGAGGCCCACTGGCTGTAGTCAGCTGCTCTCCAGCCTGAAGTGTAGTGTGGGCTCCCCACCATGGCCAGCCCAGGGGCCCTGGCAGCCAGGCCCAAGCCCTTCTGCGCCCCTCTCCGTGTCCCCTGGGTCCCAGCCCAGCCCGGAGGCCACCGGCCAGAGCTCCAGCTCCTCGCTGGGCCTGGGGCTGTCCCGGGTGAGGACAGTGGGTTCCATCGGGGCACCGTGGGAGGGGGCGGTGAGGGTGCGAGAAACCCTGCCCAAGTGCAGGCAGACCCGCGGCAGGAGCTGTGGTGGAAACCAGAGGGCCGCACCTCGTTCCGAGGAGTGTCTCTAAGTGGCTGTACTTCTGTTCATGTCTCCTGCTCACTCTGCTGCACTTCAGCTCCTCACCATCAGGAGCACTCCTCGAGAAGGACTACGAGGTTTACCGGGACTACAGCGCGGACGGCCACCTTCTCCACTGCAGGTAGGCCCTGCCTCAGGCCTGGCCCTCTCCCGGCCGGGGGTGGTTTTCCTGGCAGCTCTCAGGTGAGCTGGAGAAGGGTCTGGCCCAGCAGGAAGTGACCAGCTGGATGTGCAGAGCGCGCCAGGCCCTGCCCTGGCCCATGGGACACAAGGAGAGGCTGTTGGGCCACTGTGTGGTGTGAGGTACTGTTGTATCCATGGTACTGGCCCTGGTGGATCCCTCGGAGGTTCCTTAGCCTGTGGTCCCCCCTGGAGCTCCAGGCGCGTCGGAGTGTTTTCCAGGCCACGTCGGGAAGACTGGTGCCCACCAAGTGGGGTGGGGAGGCTGGCCGCCCTTGGGCCTGGGTTGGCCTCGTTGGGCATTGGGGTTTCCAGATATGATGCTCAGGACCTTGGGCACAGCAGCAGCAGCCTGAGCAGGGGCCTCCCCTGGGTCAGCTCGTGTGTCCAGGCTGGAGCAGGCACCTCGTCCTGTAGTTGATGGGGGCTGGACGGGGTGCTGGGCCCCTGGGGAGAGGGATTTGGAGCGCAAGGGGCCTTTGGCGATTTGCTCAGTTTAGAGATTGAGACTGGGTTTGTTGATACAGGGAGGGATCTAAGCCTGCCTGGGCCAGCAGTGCGGCTGTGTTCACAGGCGTCCTCACTGGTCACTGGGAAACTTGGGTTTGACTGGGGTTTGTGGGCAGAGAGCTGATGTGGTCTTGTGGCCTGTGAGCGGGGCCCACGTCGGGGCAGAGGCTTCCCTCCGAGCCAGTCCAGGTCCCATTTCCTGCCGCTCTACCAGGGCACTGAGCATGGGGTAACGCTTCCCTGATGAGGTGCCTCCAGAAACAGGCAGGAGGCGGTGGGAGGGAGTCTTTCCCCAGAGTGCCTCCTCCCCAACAGAGCCGACAAAGAATTGGGGCTGAGAGAGAAGGCTAGACCTTCTCCTGGGTCTGCAGGTGGTGGTGAGGGGCTGTGGGGGTCGTCCTGTGGGAGGGGAGGTGATCAGGGGCTGGGAGAGAAGGACAGGACTCTGGCTGGGCCTGGGGGCGCTGAGGGGTATCGGCTCTCCATGACCCAGGCCATCTCTGTGCTGCTGGGGGTGCATTTCCCTGAGACGGGCCGGCACCCGCCTTCCTGCTGCCCCGTGCCTGCCTCTGCCCCAGCTCCAGGAGTGCTCTGGGTCGGGACACCACCCCACCCTCCTATCTGGCTGCTGCAGCCCTGCCTGCATTTGCTGGGCAGTGGACCATGTGCAGTGTCTCCTGTGTGCCCCTCTGAACCAAGGCTGTGATTTTCCACGTGTCCTGCTTTTAGTCCTCGTGAGAACTCGTGAGGACCAGGGTGGAAGTAGGAGGTGATGCCCCACAGCCCAGGAACCACAGTCTCAGTTCAGTCCCAGATCTCTCAGATTCCAGAGCTGGTTCTCCAGGTCTGCGGGTATGCTGCCTGCCGTGCTCCGCTTTGCTTGGCTGGTCTGTGCGGCTGGCCAGGAGCAGCCTTGGGCAACCAGGAGCTGAATTCCCAAAGGGAGCCTGCCTCCCGAGCCCTGCTCACTCTCACCCTGGTTCTCTCAGTCCTGCCTTACCCACGGCCAACAATTAGGACTCGTGGCTCAATCAGAGGACAGAGGCACAGGACCAGACTGCACAATTGGTTTCTTAGGACACTTGGGATTTCTACTTTCTGTGATGGTGGATTCACTTACCTGAGACCAGCCTGTACAAGAACAAAATAGACCAAATTTCTGCAGGCATCAGAGATCCACAGAGGGGCCAAGACCTGTGGCTGTGGTCTGACAGTCGGTGCAGTCCAGAAGACTCCCTCAGGAGTCTCAGAGGGGACCGGAAGGCTCTGAACAAGGCTGTGCAGACAAGCTTGTTAACCTCAGCAAAATAAACCAATTCAGTAAAAGATATAGTATGCCAAAACTCATAGAAGAAGAAATACACAATCTGAACAGGTGTATATCTGTTAAAAGAGATTGAATCAATAATTAATGATCTTCCAAAAAAGAAAGCAGAAGTTCTGAATGGGTTCACTGGTGAGTTCTACCAAACATACATGGAAGAAATTTTATGAGTTCTCTACAATCTCTTTCAGAAGATAGATGCATAGGGAATACTTTCTCATTCTGTGAAACCAGTATTACCCTAATATCAAAATCAGAAAAACACAAAAGAATACTACAGACCTGTCTCTCTCATGAACATAGATGTAAAAATCCTCAAAAAAAAATTAGGAAATCACCACTGTATAAAAAGAATTATATATCATGACCAAGTGAGATTTATCCTAGGTATGCAAGGTTGGTTCAGCATTTGAGAGTCAATATAATCCATTACATCAGTAGACCAAAGGTGAAAAATCATAGCTCAGTTGGTAAAGAATCCGCCTGCAATGCAGGAGACCCCGGTTCAATTCCTGGGTCGGGAAGATCTGCTGGCGAAGGGATAGGCTACCCACTCCAGTATTCTTGGGCTTCCCTTGTGGCTCAGCTGGTAAAGAATCCACCTGCAATGTGGGAGACCTGGGTTTGATCCCTAGCTTGGGAAGATCCCCTGGAGAAGAAAAGGACTACCCACTCGAATATTCTGGCCTGGAGAATTCCATGGACTGTATAGTCCATGGGGTCGCAAAGAGTTGGACACAACTGAGCGACTTTCACTTTCACATGGTCGTATCAACACTTGCAAAAAAAGCATTTAGTAAAATCCAACAGCCAATCATAATTTACAAACAGACTTAGTAAAGTAGGAATATGTGTGTGCTTAATCACTTCAGTCCTAAAAAAAAATTACTTTAGTCCTGTCTGACTCTTTGCAACCTCATGGACTGTAGCCCATCAGGTTCCTCTGTCCATGGGATTCTCCAGGCAAGAACATTGGAGTGGGTTGCCATGCCCTCCTCCAGGGGATCTTCCCAACTCAGGGATCAAATCTGTGTCTCTTAAATCTCCTGCATTGGCAGGCGGGTGCTTTACCACTAGTGCCACCCAAAAAGAGAGGAACTCCCTTAACTTGATAAAGAATATTGATGAAGAACATCTACAAAAAATTTACAGCTAGCATCACACTTAGTAGTGAGACGCTTAAAGCTTTCCCACTAAGATCAGGAGCAAGGCAAGGGTTTCCCTTCTGACCTCTGGTGCTCAGCATCATATTGGAGCTCTTTGCTAATGCAGTAACAGAAGAAAAGGAAATGCAGGGTATACAGGTTGGGGAGGAAAACATAAAGCTGTCTTTGCCTGCGGTTGACTTGATCACCTATGTAAAAAATCTTGAAGAACTGACAAACTCCTAGAACTAAGTGGTTGTAGCTAGGTAGGTATAAGCTTAAGACATAAGCTAAATATGCAAAAGTCCATTGCTTTCATATATACTAGCAATGAACAAGTGGAATATGAAGTTAGAAACAGTAGCATTTACATTAGTATCACCCAGAATGAAATACTTAGGTGTAAATGTGACACAATATGTACAAAATCTGTATAAGGAAAACTTAAAATTCTGATGAAAGATATCACAGAAGCACTGAACAAGTGGAGGAAGGACTCCACTCTTTCCAACCTGACCTATAGATTCCATGCAGTCTCAGCCAGAATCCCAGCAGGTTGTTTTGTGGATATTGACAAAGTGATAATAAGATTTCTCCAGAGAGGCAGAAGACCCAGGACAACCAACACAATACTCAAGGAGGACAAAGTTGGAGGAATAATACTACCTGAGTCCCAAGACTCACTATAATGCTGTTGTAAGCAAGACAGGGTGGTATTGGTAAAGAATAGACCAATTAATGGAATAGAATGGAGAGACAACCAATGGACCACCATAAATATCATCAGCTGACCTTTGATGAAGGGGTAAAATCAATGCAGTGGAGCCAGATGGTCTCTTAAGAGACACTGCTGGAACACCTGGACGTCCACACACAAGAAAGTGAATCTGGACATGGACCTTACACCCTTCATGGAAAGTAACTCAAGATGGGTCACAGACCTGAATGTGAAACAAAACTGACTCCTAGAAGGTAGCAGAGGAGAAAACCCAGTTGACTTTGGGTTTGGCAGTGACTTTTTAGGTACAACATTAAAGGCACAAGCCATGAAAGAAACAATTGATAAGCTGGACTGTGTTAAAATTAAAAATTTCTGCTCTGCGAAATACGGACTCGGAGAAAATGTTTGCAATAGACACAAATGATAAAGGACTGTAATATGAAATATACAAAGAATTCTTAAAATGGAATGGTAAGAAAACAACCTTCTTTTAAAATAGGCAAAAGAGCTGAACAAACACCTCACCAAAGAACCTATACTGTTGGCACAGAAAGCATATGAAAGATGCTCCACATCACCTGTCAGCGGGAAATGCAAAGTAAAACAAGAGTGAGATACCTCTGCACGCCTCTTAGAGGAGCCAGAAGGCAGGCACTCTGACAACAGGCGCTGGCGAGGGTGCGGGGCAGGGGAACCCGCTGTGCTGGTGCTGGTGGGAGCACAGGAGGGTGCAGCCACCAAGACTAAACAGGGGACTTCCTTGGGGTTGAATGGTTAAGAACCCCCACTTCAAGGCAAGGGGAATCAGGTTCAGTGTCTGGTTGGGAAACAGATTCCACATGCCACAGAGCAACTAAGCCCATGCAGCCCAAGTGCACACTTGAGCCCGTGTGCCACAACTGGAGAGATGCCTTCACACTGCAGGTAAAGATCTAGCATGATGCAATGCAGATTTCATGTGCTGCAACTAAGACCCGACTCGGCCATAAATAATAAATATATTTTTTTTAAACCTGAATATACTCTAAATGATTTGGCAGTACTGCTCCTTGGTATTTACCAAATGGAGTTGACATTTTATGTTCATATCAAATCCTGCACACAGATGTTTATAGTATCTTTATTCATAGTTGCCAAAATAAGATGTCCCTCAGTAGGTGAATAGAGAAGAAAACTGTGGTCCATCCAGACAATGGCTTATACAACACTAAAAAGAAATGAGCTGTCAGCCGTGAACAGTCACAGAGAAGCATGTCACAAAGCGAAGACACCAGCCTGAGAGCCTGCACACTGCGTGATTCCACTCCTGACATTCTGGAGTCAAGAGTGTAGGTTTTCAGATTGCCTTCTTTGGAGGCCAAAGATTTGCTCATTGATTTGGCTTCAGATTTGCCTACTATGGAGACAGTGAAAAGATCAGTGGCTGCCAGGGATTTGGGGAGGGGGATGAAAAGACATAGCATGTGGGTTTTGGGGGCAAAGAAAATGCTCTGTACGACACTACAATGGTGGATACGTGTCTCTACATTTATGCAAACCCACAGAATGTACAACAGTAAGAGTGAGCCCTAATATCAACTAAGAACTTTGGTTGATTACAATGTGTCAGTGCTGGTCCATCAGCTGACAGCAGATGTTCTGTCTCTTGCGAAATGCTGATAATCGGGGAAGCTGCGTGTGAGTAGGTGCAGGGAAAATATAGGTGCATGTGGGAAATGTACATTTTTTTTCTCCTCGGTTTTGCTGTGAACCTCAAAGTACTGTTAAAAAAAAAAGTTAAATACCAATAGATATTCTAGAACTGAAAAAAATATAATAAACTAAGAACTCAGTAGATGGGTTCTTAAAAGGTTAGTAAATTAGACGGTAGATCAGAAAAAAGTCAACAGTGTGGAGAGGCCAGGGGATGGAAAGCACAGGATACAGCCCAGAACCTTGTGGAGCTCAGTGCAGAAGACAGCACCAGACTCCTAGAGAAGGAGAGAGGAAACGGGATGGAAGTAATATTTTAAAAGATATGGTCAGGAGTTTCCAGAAATCATAAAATAGGCCAGACCACAGACTGAAGAAGTGCTATGAAGCAGAGACACTGACACAAATGTTCCAGATACTAAATGTAGACAGTGAAAGTAGCTCAGTCATGTCCGACTCTTTGCGACCCCGTGGACTATACAGTCCATGGAATTCTCCAGGCCAGAACACTTTGCCTTCTCCAGGGGATCTTCCCAACCCAGGGATTGAACCCAGGTCTTCCGCATTGCAGGTGGATTCTTAGAAGGAAATCTTTAAAGCAGCTGGGGAGTTTCTTGAGGGGGCAGCTGGAAGCGGGGCGCCTCACGCACTGCTCTGGGCCTCTTGGTCTGCTCTGTCGTGGCTGTTACAGCCATGGGACATGGGGCTGACCGTTAGTTGGTGGGCATGGTGTGTGATCAAGTCCCTGTATCGCCAGGGGCAGTGTCTCTGTGTTGTCATCAGGCAAGTAAGACTCAGAAGAGCCTGAATGCCCCGAGTGCCCCCTGCTAGGTGGATGGGCCAGGATCTGGGCACACAACTCCCCAGGGCCATGGGCACCCTTAGGAACAGGGAGCAGTTTTACCATCTTGGTCCAGGTGTGGAGTGCTGAGCCCGGCTGTGGGCAGTGCCAGCAGGGCAGCCAGCCCTTTTGGACTCACAGGGGCCTGTGGTTGGAGTCCAGGCCCTGAGAGGTGCTGCGCTGCGGGATGATCGGCTGTGCTGCGGGAGCAGGGTGGGTGCTGAGCCCAGGATTCCAAAGCCACAGAGGCCTCTGGGAGCTCCCCCGGCCCCTGGCGCTTCCGTCCAGGAGTAGTTCTGTGCCTGGTTCTGGCCTGGGACCAGAGCAGAGCCTCTCACAGGGGCCCTGGAGGAGCGTCCCCATGGGCAGCAGCAGGAGAGCCCTCGGAGGGCTGCCAGGCAGACCCGGGAAGTGTGTGAGGAGGGGGGCTCCCAGGCCAGGGGGGCAGCTTCTCCAGGCTGCACGACCCGGGGTCAGGGCCTCAGCAGTGAAAGGTTAACAGCTCATTATAGCACCCGGCAGTACCAGGGCCCACAGCCTACAGCCCCTGGGGTGGCTATGAAGAGGACAGTGAGAGACGACCAGGCCTTCTGGGCCTGACCTCACACACCTATGAGGTCAAGGGGGGTGGTCATGGGTCCAGGCTGGCGAAGGGGTCAGATTTCTGCCCCAACCCAGGAACCTGCCTCCACCAGACTCCCCTCAGGTAACCTGCCCCCCCCAGGACCTTCTCAGGTAAACTGTTCCCTCCAGGACTCCCCCCAGGACCCCCGCAGGTAACTTCCCCGCAGGTAACCTGCTCCCCCTCAGGGCCCCCCACATAACCTACTACCCCCAGGACCCCCCAGGTAACCTCCCCCCAGGACCGCCCCCCAACATGACCCACTCCCCCCAGGACCCCTGCCAGGTAACCTGCTCCCCCCAGGTAACCTGCTCCCCCCAGGACCCCCCTCCCAGGTAACCTTCTCCAAGATCCCCCCCAGGTAACCTGCTCCCCCAGGTCACCTCTCACCAGGATCCCCCCTCAGGTAACCTGCTTCCCCCAGGGCTCCCTCCAGGTCACCTGCCCCCCCTGGATCTTCTCAGGTAACCTGCTCCCCACCCCCTACCAGGACTTCCTCTCTCCGCTGGAACTCGGGCACCAAGGAGCGCATGCTCATCAAAGTTGCCGACAGGGAGCCCAGCTTCCTCTCCCCCCAGGGCAATGGCTACACCCTGGACAGCCAGCCTGGGGGTCGTTCCCGCAGACCGTCTGGAGGACAACACTCGCCCAGCCTGCAGACCTTCACCCCTGACACGGACAGCCCCGTCTTCTTCCCCGAGAGGAGGCCGTCGCCTTTCCCGAAGAGGGCAGAGCTAGGGAGCTGCTCCCCGCTCCTGGCCCAGCCCCGCCGGCCGGCTGGAGACTCGCAGCCTTCCTCACCGCGCTACGCCTACGAGCCTCCCCTCTATGAGGAGCCCCCTGTGGAGTACCAGGCCCCACTCTATGACGAACCCCCTATGGATGTGCAGTTTGAGGCTGGCTCGCCGCGGCGGTCTCCTGGCCGCAAGCCACCCAAGCCGGCCTCTGCGTCGCCCTACCAGCAGCTGGTGCTCACCAGGCAGAAGTGCCCCGAGCGCTACCTGAGCCTGGACTACAGCCCTGCCGGCAAGGAGTATGTGCGGCAGCTGGTGTACGTGGAGCAGGCCGGCTCCAGCCCCAAGCTGCGGGCAGGTCCGCGGCACAAGTACACACCCCACCCAGGGGGCGGCTCGCTGTCCCTGCAGCCCAGCCCTTGCCTGTTGCGCGACCAGCGCCTGGGGGCCACATCCTCCCTGGGAGTCATGTCTGGGGACTACAGCAGCATGGAGGGGCCTGAGCTGCGGCCCGCCCTGCCTCCCACGCCCCTGCCCCAGGCCCAGGATGATGCCATGTCCTGGTCTAGCCAGCAGGACACCATGTCTTCGACGGGCTACTCTCCCGGCACGCGCAAGAGGAAGAGCAGGAACCCTTCCGTGTGCCATGCTCCCAGCGCCCCGCCTGCCGAGGGCCCTGGGGACTGCGACCCGCTAGGCCAGCAGCCCCTGACGGAGGAGCGGCCTCTGTGTGGACCCGGCCTGATGCCCATGAAGCGCACGGAGGGGGAGGCGGGGGATGGGGAGGGCCCCCGGGGCCCAGCTGAGCCCTTCCTGGCGCAGGCCCGGCTGGCCTGGGAGGCACAGCAAGCCCACTTGCACATGAAGCAGAGAGGCAGCTGGGACTCGCAGCAAGATGGCTCGGGCTACGAGAGTGACGGGGCTGTGCCGCTGCCCATGCCTGGGCCCGTGGTGCGTGCCTTCAGTGAGGATGAGGCGCTGGCCCAGCAGGAGAGCAAGCACTGGCAGAGGGGTGCCTTGGACAGGCTCGCCTTCCCACAGGTCCTGCTCGAGAAGAGCGTCTCTGTGCAGACCAGCCTTGCCTCCCCGGAGCCCTACCTGCATCCCTCTCAGGTAGGCGCTCACAGGTGGGTCCTGGGCAGGGGTGGGGCAGGTCAGCACCCTGAGATGTGGTGTGGCCTCACGGTTCCTGGCAGGCCTGAGGACAGATGGTAGATGGCTGTTGGGGTCTCCGCCAGCACAGAGGTCTCTCCCCTCGGCTCCTGGTGAGGCCCAGCAGGTGCTGCCTGGTCACCAGGGGGCCTAAGGCACGTCCTGATTCCAGGACACAGAGGCAGTCACCTGCCCTCTGCTCCCTGAGCCTCTTGCCTGCCACCTGTGAACAGGCACAGTGAGAAGCTGTGCAGGTGGAGTGCCGGATGCTCCTTGGTGGCCAGAGATTCCCGGGGCCAGGCTCCTTAGGTGCACCCCCAGCCCTAATGTGGAAGACATGCCATGCCCAAGAACCAGGACATCTTAGGTGGCCAGTGTCCCCTGGGGCAGGGCCACCTTAGTGCCCTCCAGACTGGAGAGTTCAGAGCCGCATCTTTGTCTGTGGCTTGTAACACAGGAGGGCATCAGGACAGATGGGCAGGGCAGGGGTGGGTGGTTGGTAGAGTGTGGGCAGCTGCGTCCTGCAGCACCGAGCTCCCAGCCTGATCTGGACGGAAGGACACGTGGGCTCTGAGGGCCTGACTGAGGTCCATGCCGGGTGCTGCCAGGGGAGGTGGCTCCCTGCCCCAAGGGTTGGGGAGGCTATGCAGGTGTGGGCATGACCTGCCAGGAGTCCCCCCAGAGTACCGAGTGAGTGCGCTGTGCAGAGCGGGGAGGGGCCATGGGCATCCTGGCCCTGCCTCTGATGCCTGGGAATCCTTGTTGTGTCTTTGTTGGGGAGAGGGGTGCGGCAGTGGCGGCCCAGAGAAGGTTGTGTTCCTGTCAAGCACAGTTGGCATCTGGGGCTTTCTCTGTCCTTGAGGGGCTGCCCTTCCCACTTGAACCAGCAGAAGCCACAGCGCCTTCCCCCCAGCCCACCCTCATGCACGGTCGGCCCCCTGCCTGGGGGGCCGTATGAGTCCAGGACACAGCGTCCCCTAGGCCTCCCCACTGGGCCGCACGAGCACCTCCCACTCCCAGACTGTGCTGGCCCCTCAACCCTTGGTCTCTGGACCAGGGCGGGCGCCTCCCGGAGGCCGAGCCCCCAGGGAAAGGTTGGTCCCGTCTCAGGCTCCTGAGGCGCTTAGACCAGGGTGAGGAGGGCGGACCCTGGGCGGGTGGGCAGACAGGTGAGGACAGCGGACATGGCTGAGGCGGGCAGATGGGTGAGGCGGGCAGACAGGGATGAGGCAGGTGGACAGGGGTGAGGTGGGCAGATGGGTGAGGAGGGCGGACATGGACTGAGGCAGGCAGACGGGAGAGGTGGGCAGACACGGACCGAGGTTTGCAGACAAGGGCGAGGAGGGCAGACAGGGGTGAAGAAGGCAGACATGGATTGAGGCAGGCAGACGGGTGAGGAAGGCAGAGATGGACTGAGGCAGGCAGATGGGGGTAAGAAGGGTGGACAAGGGTGAGGTGGGCAGACAGAGGTGAGGCGGGCAGAGCTGAGTCCCAGGCCTCTCTCCTCCAGCAGCGTTGGGGCCCGTGTGGGGCGGGGGCCACACCTCTCCACTGGCTGGCTCATGTGGGCTCCTCTGTCCCCCAGTCTGAGGACCTTGGCACCTGTGCCCAGTTCGAGAGCAGCCGGCAGGCCCGGAGTGTGATGCCCAGCGCCAGCTGCGTGTTCCCCACCTTCACGCTCCGCAAGCCATCCTCGGAGACAGACATCGAGAACTGGGCCTCCAAGCACTTCAACACCCACACGCAGGGCCTCTTCCGGCGGAAGGTGTCCATCGCTAACATGCTGGCCTGGAGCAGCGAGTCCATCAAGAAGCCCATGATCGTGACCAGCGACCGCCATGTGAAGAAAGAGGCCTGTGAGGTCTTCAAGTTGATCCAGATGTACATGGGCGACCGGCGTGCCAAGGCAGACCCACTGCACGTGGCCCTGGAGATCGCCACCAAAGGCTGGAGTGTGCAGGGCCTGCGGGACGAGCTCTATATCCAGCTGTGCCGGCAGACCACCGAGAACTTTCGCCTCGAGAGCCTGGCCCGCGGCTGGGAGCTCATGGCCATCTGCCTGGCCTTCTTCCCACCCACGCCCAAGTTCCACTCCTACCTGGAGGGCTACATCTACCGGCACATGGACCCTGTCAACGACACCAAAGGTGAGGATGGCCCAGGCGGGCACTGGCTCTGCCGCCGGCTTGGGCGGCTGTGGCAGGGCCCCTGCCTGGGCTCAGTGCTGGGCCCACAGGCAGCAGGTGCGCAGAGGCACCGCCACTTGAGGGCACACCCTTGGCCTCCGCGGGGATGCAGGGTCCTCAGGGAGCCCCTCTCGGCACAGAGGCCCTGAGGAGATCCGCGGCAGGCGTGCCGCCGTCCCGGCCGCTGGCTGACAGGTGTGGCTGTGTGTCACACCTGCATCCCCACCAAGCAGCGTTCGCTCCCTCCGAGGCCCCATCCCAGTTGCCCTGCCTGATGAAGGCACTTACTACATCCACCCTGGCCAGGCTCACGCTGTCCCTCGAGGCCATTTCAGGAGGGCTTCTGAGAGCAGCAAGGAGCCGGACACTCGGCCCAGCACCAGGTCTGAGGTGCCAGCAGGCTGTTGTGCTGTGAGCTGAGATGGCCCTGAGCTGCATCAGGGGTCAGAGGCTGGGACTGTCACAGACAGTGACTTGCTGACGGCTGCCTGGGGCTGAGTGCAGGCTGCGTCTGGAGGCCATGTGTCTGGTCTGTGTGGCCATGACCTGACCCGCGTGGGGAGGATGCTGGGCCACAGTCCTGCCAGCCAGGCGGTGCATGTCCTGGGCCTGGGCCAGCGGCCCCGTGCAGCGGCTGTCAGCCACCCTGTGCTCCTGGGTGTCCTCCGTGCTGTAGGTGGCTTGGGAGTGGTCACCTGTCCTGGTCAGGCTGGGGCCTTGCCCCTGCCCAGGTGTGGGTGCCAAGTCACGTGCACACAGTGGGGAGGGCTGCAGGCACTGTGGGTCCTGGGAGGCGCATGAAGCACAGGGACCGTCCAGCATGCCAGCCGTTTGGAAGCAGATCTCAGAAGCCTTGACATTTTCACTCAGGTGTGCGCCTTTGAAAGCAGGATCCCTGAACACCAGAGACAGGTCTCCCCAGGTTGCTCCCGGGGTGCGGCAGGCAGCCTGGGTCTGTCTCTGTCCTCTCAGACCTTCCCAGGAGCAGATGGGCCCTCAGTAGCTTCATGGTTCACCTCAGCCTCTTCCAAAAAGGCCTTGAAATGTCCCTGCTGTGAGCTGGAGGTTTGGAAGTGTGTGCCCACTGCTTAGCACACAGCCCGCGGGGCTCCAGCAGTGCTGCTGAGTGACAGGTGAGTGAGCGGTGGATGGAGGCCAGAGACTCCAGGCCGGCCCCTCTCTCGCCGGGGCACTCGTGTCCAACAGGACACTGGCGCTGGCTCCGAGGTCAGTGAGCCTCTGTCCTGATGTCTGTGCTATGGGAGCCGGGTGGAATCGAGGCTCAGCCTAGCAGCCATGGCTTCCTAGCCCCGGTGGTCTCTGTCCGCAGATCACACTGGGTCTGTGTGGTTCTGTCAGCTGGATCCTGTTTCTGGGCTGTGGGGTCTGGTCTTACATCAGTAGCACAGGGTTGCCCTCCCGTCAGAGCCCTGTCTCCATCTGTGAGACCCACTTCCAGGTGAGCAGCTGCTGCTCGTCACCAGCCCAGAAGAACATCCTCGAGAGAATGTGGGTGCTGGCTGCTGGTCAGGAAGACAGGCCCCCTCAGCCCAGGGGGACGAGCCTGTGCCTGGAAGGACATGCAGTCTGTCCCAGGAGCAGTGGTGAGGGCAGAGCTGAGCTGGCTCCCACACACGGGGACTCACCCGAGCCGCACCCTGCCTTGGCCTCAGAAGCTAAGGTTCATCTGCCAGCATGTGTGTGACATCTGCTGTGTGGTCACGACCTCAAGGGACCAAGGTACCCCGCAGTGAACCCAGGTTCATGTGAGCTCCCTCCCCCTGGCTAAACTTCGTCTGATGTGGTCACACCTTTGTGCCAGCCACCCCCAGCTGACTCACAGCTTGTGTGCCCTGGACCCCCCTGAGCATGCTGTCAGCACAAGCGTCCCAGGGGTTTGGCGACAGCACACTGACTGCAGCTCCTGCAGGAGCACCCTGAGGAATGCTCAGTGCAAGCACCTCATGCCTGCAGCAGGTATTTATCCTCTGGGTAAAGATGGCAGGCTGAACACATGCATTTACTTGCATCCCACCTTGAATTCATGGTAGAAACAGTGAAGGAATCTTTCAAAGACAAAAAAAGAAACCTCACAAGGAAACGTGAAATACTGCAGTCACTATGGAAAATAGAATGGCAATTCATCAAAAGATTAAAAATAGAATTAGCATAGGACCCCACAATTCCACTTGTGAGTATATACCCCAAATAATTGAAAGCAGAGACGTGAATAGATATTTGCACACCTGTGTTCATACCACCATGTTCACAACAGCCAAGAGGTAGAAAGCAGCCAGGTATCCATTGATGGGTGAACAGATAAAATAGAATGTCATCTGTACATACGGTGGAGTATTCAGCCTAAATGAGTTCAGTTCAGTTTAGTCGCTCAGTTGTGTCCGACTCTTTGTGACCACATGAACTGCAGCACGCCAGGCCTCCCTGTCCATCACCAACTCCCAGAGTTTACCCAAACTCATGTCCATTGAGTCAGTGATGCCATCCAACCATCTCATCCTCTGTCATCCCCTTCTCCTCCTGCCCTCAATCTTTCCCAGCATCAGGGTCTTTTCCAATGAGTCAGCTCTT